CTGGAGCCCCCAGGGGCTGGAAGAGTCAGGAAGGATCCTCCCCTATAATCTGCTGAGGGAGCACAGCCCTGAGACACCTTGATCTCAGCCTCCTGGACTCGACTGGGTAAGGTCCCTGGTTTGTGGTAACTTGTTATAGCAACCACGGAAAACTAATTCAGACAAATTCGTAGGTTCCAGAGACTATGATGTCTAAATCTTGAGCAGGACGAGGGGTCGTTATTAAGCCATTGGCAGGGCTTCAGTTCTAACTGCGGCCATGGGTCACCTTTGGTCTGTTGGACACGTCCTATTCTCTGGAATGGCCATGCCAATTCCATGTGATTAGGGTGGGATTTTAGAGTGGAAATCTCATTCCAACTGTGGGTGGACATTTAACCCAGGAATGTCCAAGTCCTTCCACCGTAATGATTGGTACAAGATGGGTGATATCGTTTGTGTCCCCCACCCAAATCCATCTTGAATTGTAGTTCCATAATGTCCTAAACATTAGAAAATGTAAATGTTAGCTAACATGGCAAAGGGGACTTTGTGGCGATGATGCGTTAAGAATCCTGAGATGAAGCGATGTTCCTGGATTATCCTGGTGGGTTCTACGTAGTCACAAGAGTCCTTATAAGAGGGAGTTAGGAGTGTCAGTCAGAGAAGGAGATGTGAAGAGGGAAGCAGAGGTCAGAGAAAGAGAGACTAGAGGGTACTGTGCTGCTGGCTTTGAAGATGGAGGAAGAAGTCATAAGCCAAGGAATACTGCAGCCTCTAGAAGAGGGAGATGTCAAGGAAATGGATTTTCTTTTGGAACCTCCAGAAGGAACCAGCCTGCTGATACTTTAATTTTAGGACTTCTGATTACCAGAACTATTAGAAAAATTGTGTTATTTTAAGGCAATTAAGTTTGTGGCATTTTGTTACACCAGCAATAGCAAACTCATACACTGCTCTAATGGTCATTTCATCTCAGGCCGTCTCCCTCTCTCTCTCTCTCTCTCTCTTTCGCTCTCTTTTTCTTCTCCTCCTCTTTCCCTTCTCCCTCTTCTTTTTCTCTCAATCTCTCTCACTCATTCTCTTTCTCCCCACCTGTTCTCTCCAGAAGGGCAGATGAACTTTTTCTTTACATGGGGACTCCTGACTCCATAAGAGAGAAGTCAGAAGCTGCCAGGTCCCCCAAGTCTAGGGCAGGAACGACAGTATCAGCATCACTTATGCTGCATTCTTTTGGTCAATGCAAGTCAGAAGTTCATCCCAGATCCAAGGGGAGGAAAAAGGCTTCAACTCGTAGCTGAGCTCATTTGGAAGGTAATGGGAGGACTTGGCAGCTGTTTTAAGACATGTACCACATCTAGATTTCAACCTACAGAAAAGTCCAAAGATACAACAGCAGCCCAAGTTAGTCAACTGAAGCTGTCTCAAGGCTGCCCCCTTTAGGTGGAGACTAACCAGCTCCCTGACATCCTTCAGTTAACTGCACCTTCCTCCTTCTTGCCGCCTTGAATTTCTACGTGCTGCCTGGAGCTGTGGCAGGGATCTTGCAACCACGAGGTGAACACTATGTGCAGGAGCAGGAAGCTGGAAAGAACCTGCCAGCCCTGGATGCTTCCTCTGTGACTCTCATTACCTGGGAGAGAACACACCTTTCTCTTGTTTGAGGCGTTCTTATTCCCAGTCTGCTCTCTCCCTGTATAACACTCAAAGCACAGGAGTAAACTTGTGACTGTGACTTCAGTTTTTCAGAATGGGGACGTTTGGATTGCTTAGTCCTCTCTCCATAAATAGCGAACAGCAACACCAGGTTAGTTCCTTCAAAGCTGGGGGGTGAAGGGGTGGAGGTGGAGGAGTAGGATCGTGGATGGGAAATCAAAACAAACAAATGACACCATCCAGGTAGAGTTGCCATGTTTTAGTCAGTGTTTCTGCTGCACTGCCAGCCTAGGGATGCACTTGATTCCCAAGAAGTGCTGCCATCCTATTCACAGAGCCACCCACAGACACCTGCCCTTTATTACCGTAACTAGTACAGAACAGAGGCCGATTCAAGCTCCCTTAGATCCCTTTCTCAGTGAATATAAGGGAGAAGAAGCGCCTCATGGCTCTGGGAAGGCATGTTGAGACCCGTTTTTGCAAGCCTTAAGGCATGGAAGAATATAGCTGCCACGTACCCCAGTCTAGGGCAGGAAGGGCAGTACCAGCGTCACTTACACTGCATTCTGTTGGTCAGTGCAGGTCAGAGGCTCATCCCAGATCTAAGGGGAGGGAAGAGGCTCCAACCTGTAGTTGGGCTCACTTGGAAGGTAATGGGAGGAGTTGGTGGCTACTTTAAGACACATACCACATCCAGATTTCAACGTACAGAAAAGTCCAAAGATGCACCCACAGGAGCCCGTTAGTTAATTGAAGCTGGCTCAAGGCTGCCTTCTTCAGGTGGAGACTAACCAGCTCCCTGACATCCTTCAGCTAACTACTCCTTCCTTCTTCCTGCTGCCTGGAATGTCAATGTGCCATCTGGAGCTGTGGCAGCATTCTTGAGACCATGAGGCAAATCCTACATGCAAGATCAGGTAGCTAGAAAGAGCCTGCCAGTCCTGGGCTTATATCCTCCTTCCCAGGGAGCTTGAAGATAGCAAAACCCACAGCCATTTTCATCAAATGCCAGGAAATTCTTAGGCTGGGATCGTCTGAATGGTTGAGAGCAAAAGACTTGTTGTAATGGGCTTGTTGAATACAGTGAAAGATGAGATGGCTTTTAGTTGCCTCCAAATCCCCATGACCCATGCTCCATAGATGTTTCTTTTTAATGATTTTTTGGTTATGCTGGGTGTCTCCTGTGTGTCCCTCTGGATCCATCTCCAGCCTTAGAAACCTGAGCTCTGTAAGTGCTGCCCCTCTCCACTCGCCTTCTCTCTGGCTTCAGATTGAGTTCAGTCAACAGATGCCCCTGTAGGATTTGGACACAGGGAGCCTGGGGAGAGGGGCATCAGCTGCCTGGTTAGCAGGGCTGTGATGGTTCTTCTACTCATGATTCTCACTGCTGTGGTCAGCCCGTTGCCTCCTCCTCTGGATTCTGGAAGCTTCTATGCTGAGGTCTGATGGTGGCTCCCTGCCTCCCATTGGGGTCCCTAGAATCCCATCCTCACCCATTACCTGGTGGTGAACACTGCCTTTCTTAGATGCCATTTATTCTCTCGTTTCAATTCCCAGTATGCTTCCTACAAATACCTCAATAGACGGACCGAGAGGAATAGTGCAAAATTCTCCTGCCCCCGGTATTGGGATCTGGGGGAAGGGGTCCCAGGTATGTAGTAACTTAGGACTACACTTCCAGCGCCAAAGCCACAGAGGGAGGGGTGAGGATGAAACATACTAGAGTTGCCTTAGAAAACACACTGGTCAAATCTTAGCTATTCGAGGAATGCAGGAAGAGAAGCTTCCTTCTCTCTGTATGTCTGAAGGTTCCCACGGCTGTCTCTTTGCCCAAGGGGCAAACCTGCCATCAGGGTATCTTCTGCGCATTTGAGGATCTTCTGCCAATGACAGGCAATTGTAGTACGTGTTTCAGTGAAGAATGAGATGAAGTCATTTTATTTGACAATAAAGCGATGCATCAAAAACCTCAGTCAACTCAGTAAGTGTTTTCTTGCTTTCCTGCTGACCAACCTAATTCTGGTTTCATACAGGGAAGCCAGGTGCCCACCTAAAAGCCTGCACTTCTCAACTTCCAGTTGTTTCTATGGATAATAGTTGGAAGCAGAAATTGGGTTAGGGCTTCCAGATAATCCCCCCTAACAGGGACTGATTCAAGAGAAGGGGATGTCCTTTGGTTCTTTCTCCTTCCTGCTGCCTGGAATGTGATGTCTGGCGCCGTGACAGCCATGTTGATGTAATGAGGCCAACTCTCTGCCATGCTAAGAGTGGCAGAGCTGGGAGTTGACAAGAGCTTGCTAGCCTTGGGTTGCTTCCCCTTGAGCTGCACACTACTTGGAAGAGAACACACTCCTCTCTTGTTCTTTTCATTAAGGCATTCTTTTAAGGCAGGGTCTTACTCTGTTCCCTAGCTTGGAGTGCAGTGGTGCAATCATAGCTCACTGCAGTTTCGACCTCCTAGGCTCAAGTGATCCTCCCACCTCAGCCTCCTAAGCAGCCGAGACTACAGCTGTGTGCCACCACATCTGGCTAATTATTTGGGTTTTTGAAGAGATGAGGTCTCACTGTGTTGCTCAGGCTGGGTAGGTATCGAACTCCTGGGTTTCAAGTCATCCTTTGACCTTGGCCTCCCAAAGTGCTGGGATTACAGGTGTGAGTCACCGTGCCTGGCTTTGTTTAAGGCATTCCTTTTTCCCAGCATCTGTTACCAGCAGCCTGAAGTCATTTCTTTAATAATACCAGGAGGACACATGGACAGAGACACTAATGTATGAAAAATGCACCAACCCTTTGAGATCAATGAGTCCTCAGGAACAGAGACGGAGAGGCTTTCACTTTCCTCTGCTATGTGAAAGAGTAAGAACAGACATTCTTCCCTGTCCTTTTGGAAGGCTGTTATGTCATCTAGGTACTGAAATTGGAACAATGCTTTAAGACGGATGGTGGAAACATGGGGCATTGGCACAACAATGAACGCTGAGATTTAGAAGAGGAGGAGGAGGCATTAGTGGGTGCACACTGGGATAGTCTTATTTCACAGATCAGAAAATGGAGACCCTAGATGGGGGCAGTGGATCATGCCTGTAATCCTAGCACTTTGTGACGCGGAGGCAGGTGGATGACTTGAGGTCACCAACATGGTGAAACCCCGTCTCTACTAAAACTATGAAATTTAGCCAGGCGTGGTGGTGGGTGCCTGCGATCCCGGCTACTTGGGAGGCTGAGGCAGGAGGATCACTTAAACCCAGCAGGTGGAGGTTGCAGTCAGCAGAGATCACGCCTTTGCACCACATCCTGGGCGTCAGAGCAAGACTCTGTCTCAAAAAAAAAAAAAAAA